ACAATATGGTTACATTTCCGGTCGTACCCATAGCGACACCTACATCCCCTTAAATCCACCTTTACGGCGTCGGGGGACGGCGCGTGAGATCCGTCAAGATGACGGACGTCCTTTAAATTTGCCGGGAACGTTGCGGGCTTGGACGACTCCCCGAGGATACCGAATGCGCCTCCTCGAAATGAAATTCTGGCCGGCGCGCTCGCTCGCTCGCTCGCTCGGCCGTAAATCGACCGGGATGTAGACGACGGACGGCATAGGTAGGTAGGTAGATAGGTAAGTATACCCCCGGCTGCGGAACGTCGAAGTAAATGGAGAAAGCGTCCGCCCGCGAGTGGATCGAGACGTAATTGGCATCGCGCAGGCCGGAACGCTTAATTCAAAATCCCGAGACGCGGCGAGCCTGCACCACTCGCGCTTTCTCCCCTTAATTGCGCGACGCCCAATTCAGGCCAGGCGGGGCCGAGTAATTGAAATCGCGCGGAAACCCAAGTCGTGCCCGTCGCTCTGGGCTTACGCGACACGCGAGCCCTGCCTCGGTCAAGACGAAACGCCCGGCGAGAGGTTGAAGGTGAGGGTTTCCGCATCAGGAGATTCAGCGAAGGGTGCACTTCGGCCGGCGCGTGGCGGCGCGTACGCGACTTCGAGACGACGAGGGTTGTAATCGGCGTTCACGAATGACGGGCGAATAATTGTTGAATATGCATGCGCAAAGTTCGCCGTAGCCAGCGAGGAGCAGCGCGCCGTGATGCGTGCGTCGGCGCGTGTTGAACGTGAGATATTAAATACATAATGATAATGTATCACACGCACACAATCGTATACACCTGGAGTTACCTTGCATGGTAATCTGTACGTCATTTGTAATAATCTCAATTCCCGTGATTATTGGACCGCGAGTCGATACGGCTAAACAAATTATATATTATAATCACGTTAACTACAAGACTACATTAAATCCATCTATGTCTCTCTCGCTCTCTTTCCCTTTATGTACATGTACATATATACCACGAGCACTGTAATCAGTCCCGTGCGGTGATCGTGTGTAATTTCGAAATATGCACGAGACACAGGTCGAGAATCAAGCTCCGACCACTAAATAGTCGAGCAGATATATTCGACAGTGAATGCATGCCCCTAAAATCGTATGTCCCATTCGAATAGCGTGTACAACAAAGTCAAGGCAACGTTAACTACATTGATTGAATGAAGCCGCGTATTTACCTTTGTCCGGAGCCAAATAAATAAATTTTGGTACCAATCGATAAAGTACCTTTCAATAACTGTTGGGACTGAAGATTACATCTGCGAACTCGTCAGAAATTTAGAATTTTGTCCATTGCCTTATATATTCAGTGTCTCTATTTGATCACTTTGAATTCTCTTAAAGTTATCAGTTATAAGAATAGCACTGAGAAGTTTCAGTGCTGTACTTATAGCTGCAAATCAATGTATATTTACTGTTTTCAACGATGTTTCACTGATTCAATTTAAGAGAGAAGGTCTTCCGGGACCATGGCATCATTCTAGAAGTACAATAATTAAAATTTGTTCTTGATAATTCACGTGCCATTCATCTAGAAGACAGCGCCTGACAGAGGCACGGACACTAATCGCAGTGTACACGTTGAAATTCGGAAATCCTGCGAAGTGACGCGAGAAAGATTTTGAAAATCGGAATAATACTTTTCCGGTGTGACAAATGACCCAGATCGAAATTTTAATTATTATTTTGAACTTATTGAAACATTCTTTATTGAATGGTATTAAAATTATTTATTTGACTCCGAATAAAGAAGAATGGTCTTTTGTCAGTTTACTTTCCCTTTCTCTCTTTCCTCTTTTTAAGTAATAATTACTTTCAACAAAGAACATTTTCCTGATAATAGTCTTGAGATATAATCATGACAAAATTTTAAAAGAGCTCATGCATTCGAGAGAAGAATTTATTCTCTTTATTTGAAATATCTTCAAAGCAAAAAACAAAGATTTTCGAAATTAGTCTATTTATAAAAAAGCGTGTTGTGATAATGCTTTTTTAAGTAATAACTTCGAAAATCTGAAGATCATCTTCGCTCTTTCTTCGAAGATATTTTAAATGGCAATAATTAATGACACTCTGTATAACAGATCTATCAATTAGAGAAATCGTGTAGCATGTGAAGCAGCAGATATCCAGATCCTGGATTCGAAATCACCAGAGTAAAGACAAATTTCGTGGCGATTTTCTTTCATCGTAGTTGCCGTATTTAACTAAATTTGTTTGGTTACCTTGAACATTTTATCAACAAAATACTAACCTTCTCTGCAAAGTTTATATCGTATTGATTACACATGATTACAAATACAGTTTTATACAGTGAAAGTTCGCAAATAGGAATTGGAACATTGAGAAAAAAATTGACATCTCGAGCTGTCACAGTTAGCATAAATATTAGCAAGATACCAAAGCTATACTAAACGTGTGTTCAGCTCCGCTGAAGGAAATATCAAAGAATATTGTGATATTTTTACAACATAATGTAAGGAAGCTTAAAAATATATAAGAAGTTTGCAGAAAGACTTCTATATATATGTAAAATTCAATTTTCCGCTAAATATTATAAGACAAGTCAGTATAGTATATATGATCTACAGTGTGTTTGACGCAAAATACAAGCAATGCAAGTATGTAAGTAGAGCACATCAAGTTATGCGAAAAGATCTTTATCATTTTTTAAACAACCACATAAAATTCTGAGATATTAATAAAAGAAGATTAACAAATCGTTACTCCGCCTTCAGTTGTCAACCGATATTCAGCGTCGTTTAGAAGCGGTCGTTTGTCAATTATTTTCGATAAGCTCGTGCTTACAAAGTTCGTTTTACAATATTGCGCGCATAAATTTGCTAATCTTCTTATATTATATCTTCTTAGATCTTCTTGTATTATCTTCTTTTATTAATATCTCAAAATTTTACGTTGTTTAAAAATTGATAGATTTTCTTGCGTTAGACATCCTGTACATGTACAAAATGTCTTATTTACTTTCAACAAAGGACATTTTCTTGATAATAGTCTTGAGATATATTCTTGACAAAATTTTAAAAGAGCTTATGCATTCGAGAGAAGAATTTATTCTCTTTATTTGGAATATCTTCAAAGCAAAGAACAAAGATTTTAAACAACCACATAAAATTCCGAGATATTAATAAAAGAAGATTAACAAATCGTTACTCCGCCTTCAGTTGTCAACTGATATTAAGCGTCGTTTAGAAGCGGTCGTTTGTCAATTATTTTCGATAAGCTCGTGCTTACAAAGTTCATTTTACAACATTGCGCGCATAAATTTGCTAATCTTCTTATATTATATCTTCTTAGATCTTCTTGTATTATCTTCTTTTATTAATATCTCAAAATTTTACGTTGTTTAAAAATTGATAGACTTTCTTGCGTTAGACATTCTGTATATGTACAAAATGTCTTATTTACTTTCAACAAAGAACATTTTCTTGATAATAGTCTTGAGATATATTCTTGACAAAATTTTAAAAGAGCTCATGCATTTGAGAGAAAAATTTATTCTCTTTATTTGGAATATCTTCAAAGCAAAGAACATTTTAAACAACCACATAAAATTCCGAGATATTAATAAAAGAAGATTAACAAATCGTTACTCCGTCTTCAATTGTCAACCGATATTCAGCGTCGTTTAGAAGCGGTCGTTCGTCAATTATTTTCGATAAGCTCTTACGATAAATGCTTACAAGGTTCGTTTTACAACATTGCGCGCACAAATTTGCTAATCTTCTTATATTATATCTTCTTAGATTTTCTAAGACTAAGCATTAATGCTTATTTCACATAAACGTTTGGCCTATTATCGACACTTTTGGAGTGCGTCATCTACTTTGGTAACCCCTTAAGAGGAGTCGAACTCGAACAATGTCGATAATGCAGAGACGATCATCATTAACATAATTACGCTTGTATATACAGAACTGACATGAATGTATGTTGCTTTGCCATATTCAATGGAAAACCTAACCATAAATGTGTAGAAATCTTTCTGCAAACTTTTTCGATATTCTTAAGCAAAGCTTCCAAATGCAAATGCGAAGGTAGAGCAATGTTCTCCAAAATTTTTCTGTTTAGAGCATCCACACTTTCGATATGTACAAGCTGCGAAACTTTTGGATTTAGCAAATATTACGCTAACTGACAGCTTGAGATTTTACATTAAACATTTTTTGTTCATTTTCGTCACATGTCGAGCAATGCTCCTATTTATTTTACTTTCATTGCGTAAAAGCATTTGTGTAAAAGCAATTCTGTGTAACCAATACGACGTAAACTTTGCAGAAAAATGTCAGTGTTTTGTCGATAATATTTTCAGCTTCAGCATCTCCTTAAAACCGGAATGCACGTAACTAAATACCTGGTTATATTAATCAAAATCATGGATCGTTCATCAAATCTCGTCTGGTCATTGTATCCGTATTCCGCAGGTTAATTGAACCAAATTTATTTCACGTGTGCGTGAATGGAGAATCGGTAGCGTTATCGATCGAGAGTCAATCATTAAACACAAAACCATACTCATACCTAGATCCAAATGGAATCGTCGATAACGTTGCGGTGAGTAAACAGAGATTACCTTCGTTCGTCTACCAGAAACAAAACACGTCGAAGTACGGCGAAGTATCGATTACGATCGGGCCGATATTCTTGTGGTGTTCGTGCGCGCATCGTCTACCGTAAGCATCTCTCCATGCGCGATATTTCGGTCGAGCGCTTGCATCGTCAACAGTACGCCGCACACTGCGACAATCTCGTTACGTTATTAAGTACCCTCGGGAAATCTTTCTTTCGTGACGCGTGCTTAACGAACGCCGTAATGGAATTACCGCATCCGCAGCGCGGCAAGAATTTGCGGTTCGTTGCCCGCGGCATGTTAAGTGGCAGCCAGGCAATTGAATTTGAAGTCGCAGTGCCGAGGTCAGTTTAATGCGCTACTTACCTACGTGTTGAACTCGGATAATTTCTCCTGGATTACGTGAACGGAGCGGTCGTGTCTCTCAGCGGTCGGCATCCTGCAAACGGAGATGAATGAGTCATTCGTGACCGACAAACGCACGTGTCGACGATAATAATCCTAAGGATATTCGCTATTTTGCATAATGTTATATTAGCGAGGAGCAGCGTTATTGAGTATTCTGCGAAGAAGATCGTGGTAATCGACCTACCATTAATTGTGTAGTTTTGATTTCTATACAAGGTGCTTCTTAAGCATCTTATCTATAATATGTTAGGAGTTGATTCTTAAGGTCATTTTATGAGGAAAAATTTATGCGAACTTATTATGTGATCATATCAAAAGCTATGTTTCAGAGATACAGAGAGAATAATAAAATTGATTGGTCCGAGTTTGACAAAGAAACTTTTTTTTCTGGTTTAGGAACGAGAGAAATCAAGAAAAATAGGTAATTTTATAGAATTTTTAACACTCTATATGATTTTAACATTCTGAAACAAAGTCCTTGAGACTGTATACGTACTTTTCTTCATGAAATGATCTCAAGAATTAACTTCTAAAATATCGAACAGCACTTAAGAAACACCTGTATGTCCATTTCATAGAACAATTAGTCAACTGCTTTAAAAGAGCACTTAAGAAACACCTGTATGTCCATTTCACAGGACAATTAGTCAACTGCTCTAAAAGAGTAATTTTAGTTCATTTATATTTACGCCGTGTTTATATGGCACGCATCTCTCCGTTCACCCGATTGCTATCTCTTCGTTAATATATACGCGATAGTCAACATTATCATTTAACGGCATCGCTAAAAGGTAGCGCGCGAGTATCACCAAGGATGGTTTCTCATACATTACAAGCGCAGCGTCTCATTCGCTTCCATAGTTGAATCTCATCGTGTGAAAATTGGAAAAGTTCAAAGCGCTCGTCGCCTGCCACCGGCACGATGTAGATGAGAACGAAGGAGAGACTGATGGTAAGCAAAAGAGAAGCTATGCTGAGGATGTCGAGAACAGTGAGAAAGAGGAAAGATGGAGAAAGACGAGGAAGATAAAGCGCGGATAAGAGAGAGGAGAAAGAGGGGAGAGAAGGAGAGGGGGAGAGAGAGAGAGAGAGAGAGAGAGAGAGAGAGAGAGAGAGAGAGAGAGAGAGAGA